CAAAGGCCCCCTTGCTCCAAGCAATATCGAGGATGGTCGGTAACGCAAGGGGCACTATCCCAGCAGGCAATGTGCCCCCCTGCCCTCTCCCCCCCGAGGGCGTTATCTAAAGCGTCCTTGTTGTCCCACAACTATCTAGGGTCACGTGACGCCACGCGTGGGATATCGCTGAGCATGACGCCGCAGGATGGGAGTTTAGGGGAATTCGTGTGACAGTGGAAGCGTCACGCGAACAAATACAACCGCCATTCTCTACTGCACCCTGGAACTGGTGTGACGGGTCTAAACAATGCAATTCTGCGATCAAAACAACAACTGTAATCTAGTGTGCTTCCCTGTGACATCCCTTGAAGGAGATGCGAGTTGACATGAATCAGGGTCTGGCATTTGCTTTCATTCATATCTAGACCTTCAAACACACATATATAGTGCAAGAGCAGAGAGTGCAGGTAGGTGCACTTTGAGTTGTATCTTCCACTACTTGTGCAGCTAAGGTTAACATGTGCCAGCAGTGTGTTTTGAGAAGTAGAAGAGTCTTTGACCTGTCCATGTTTGCCACCATCTTGCAGTGTTCCTATGCATGGCTGACGATTCATGCATGCCCTCTCTCAAATGTAATTACCTTACATTCTTCCGAGTTTTTACTGTTTTCAGCAAACTGCGAATTAGTATTCAAGTGGGCAAAACAGTCTAGAGCACACGACACAGGTGTATCATGAAGCGCAGTTCTGTTAATGCAAGAGATCGCACTCCTCCAACAGCGGTAAGTTTGTGTCCATCAAGCCAAGCTCGTTCATATCCAAATGATATACAAAGCAGTGAGACAGGTGGTCAACGTATATGCATTCAAGACCCGGCAAAGAGAGCGTGCTTTCTCCAAAGTACATGCACGGACAACCACAACGATAGCGTTGGTCGAGGTTTGGTCACAGCGCGAATACCAGCTATTGTGGGCACACGCCAGCAGCACCTTTCGGCCTTCCCAAGACTTCCAAGTTCAAACCTCAGCATTAGGATTTAAGAAATTGGCAGCTAGGGAGCTGCTGGCAGTTGACCTACCAAGCTCCATGTGCAAGCGGCCGGTTTGACATGCAGTTCTTATTTGTTCGTCGTCAACTGCAAGCGAACTATCGCTCCATCGTCCCAATCCTTGCGAGGTGTTTGCCGGCGGCAGTAGCCCAGCCCCAATTGGCACAGCACCCCCCACCTCCTTGGAATAATATTGCTGCCTACACCAAATCGGTGACTGCTTGCACTAAATCACGTGCACACCACGTTCTAACCTCAGTATTAGGGTCAGGTTTATTTTAAAATGAGTTTAGGGTTAGGGCAGCTCTAATTTTAGGGTTTAGGTTTTAGGTTTTAAGTTAGGTAAGTTTTGGAGGGAATTGGTGCAAGCAGTCGCCGATGTAGTGCAGAAAGTCACCGATTTGGTGCAGCCAGTAATTGTATGCCCGCATCCTTTTTCCGCACCACTTCTACCCATTGTGCCCCACCGACTCGACCACCCCTTGGAACGGTCTCGCTGGACCACGAGAGCCTGATCCACAACGCTGAGAGTGTCGGCTACGGCCGGATCATCACCAGCGATGCCGGAGAGACATTCGACCTTGCTGTGGACAACCGCGTATCATCGTCTGCGGCTCGGGAAATGCGACACGCTTTCCTGCGGCGTGCCTCGCCAAGCCCACGCGAGGTCCGAACCTCCATCGCCGGCCCTCGTTTCTGCCTTCCAACCACTCCGCGGAGTGGTCGGCTGACCGTCCGTCGCCCTGCGGGTGGCTCGTTGGCCGGCACGAAACCCTTGAGAGCCCAGCCTTCACCATTGCTAGCGCTGCAACTTAGCGTCGGTATAACGGTACTTGAGGGGTTGCATTACCCTCGCCCTGCCCCTGGTCAAGGTGGTTTGGTAGAACAATGGGACATTCCAGCCAGTGACACCCGGTTCGATCCCAGGTCAGACATCCTCTTTGCCATTGGCACTGAAGCAAGGGCACGCGACCAGTGATTCACATCAGCCACATTAGCAAGCAAAGGATCGACGCTCCTGGAAAACACGGAGCGACTAACATCATGCCCACTGCCCCTTGGTTTGGGCCCCCCCAGACACAAGAAAAGCGCGCTCCGAGAAACCTAGCCAGTTTGTGACAGCCGTGGGTAGCGTAGTAGAGGAAGCAAGTGCGAAGTCGCTCGCAGAGGTCACCCACAAGTGGCTGCGAGGGCAGCCCTGCCGCCTTTCATGGCCTTGGCGCCGGGGACCGTGCCTCTGGGGCGCCAGGCCGCGGCCCCGCCCGAGGATGCGAGACCTGGTGGACGCCGTTGGGGTCCCAATGGGCGGGTCAAGATGCTGGTGGAACTCTCGTTTTGCGCTCTTCCGCGCCATTCGCGCCTTGCCTGGCGCAGGGGGGATCGGGCCGGCAGGTGCCGGGATCCCTGGTTTTGGGGCTTCGGCGCACCTGGAATGTTTGGGGGTTTCCTGAAGCTGGGTGTGGCGCCGATTGCTGAGATGTCGAACTTGTGTCTTTTCAACGTTCACAGAAGTGTGGCAAGCCCCAGAGCCCCTTGATGGCCTGCGCTTCTCAGAGATCCAGACCAGGGTTTACGCACAAACTTAAACTCAGGCACCCTTCTTGACGGCTGCGCAGATCTTCCGGCACTTCTGCAACATTTAATGTTGCAGTACTTGAAGTACATAATTGCGCTGCTGCATGGATTTGTTGGAATGACTGTAGATAATACAAATAATCGTATAGTTTATGTCGTACAGATATCCTATTACATCCTATATATATCCTATATTTTACAAATAGTCCCACCGCTTCTTGTCAGACCATCGGCCTCCGCTGCGACAACTGTCGTCATATCGTACCCTTCGTATCGTATCTCTTCCTCCCCACGCCAACCGTCGTCATATCGTATACCGCGTTTTGTCGTATCGTCCCCTCCCCCCGCGTAACGCTGTCAACCTCCAACCCCCCGCGGCCCTACTGCCGTCCACCCGCGCCCCAGGCCGCCACCCGGGCCCCCGCAGCCCAAGCCACGCCGCCCGGCTGGTCAACTCAAGTCAACGCCGGTCAACATGTCGACCACCTACTGGTGAGCCCATCGGACGCCACGACGCACCGCGACGCCAATCGCCCGCGGGCCGCCGCAGCCCCAGGCGCCCAACTTCAAACGGTTTTCACAAATTGCGCTTCGGAGGGTTGGCGATCGAGCGGCCCTGGCTCGAGGCGGGCCGCGGGCCGATGCCCGCGGCGATCGCCGGCGATGCCGCCCGGCGTTCGGCCAACCTTTCGACCCCTCGACACTCAACGGCATCTCCACCTAGGCGGCCGGACTCGCAATGCTTGGACGCACCCACCGGGCGCCGCGCCTCCTGGCGGAGATGCAGAACGGGAGACGCCACTGCGCTTTTAGGCCTTGGGTCCCACCCCCGCTGTTGGAGGCCCGGCCCCGGTCAGTACCGTAGCCAGTACTGTGGTCAGGACTGTGGTCTACAGTACCACACTAAGTACTGAGCCGCTGCGCCAGGCAGCCGAGGGTGTGTCGCCGCGCCTTGGCGCCGTCCGGTTTGTCGGACGAGTGGGAGGAAGTACTGCGACAAGTACTGAGGGGTTGAAGTGCCGGTGAATGAGTGAAGTCGCTGCGGGGCTGTGCGGTGGGGAGGGTTTGGGGGCGAGGTTTGGTTCGGACGTTGGTCTCAATTCGGACCTGGCAAAGCCTGGACGTATTCCTTTGACTGAAGCTGTCAGAAGGACGCAAACCGCCACTCCTTCCCGCTCAAGGCTGGTCCAGAAACGAGTATGAAAATGCAGGGATTGTGCGTCCTGCATCAGCTCGACTGATATTTTTTGCAGAATGTCGGTGTCGACTTTGTGCAGTTAATTTTTGACGTCCAAGAAGTTTTTGGCGATGTCCCAGTTGCCAGCATGGGTGAAACAGGCCTTGCAGACATCCTTCCATACATTCGCCAACTGTGCTTGAAAGACATCTTACAAAATGTGCAAAAAATAATATTGTCGCAAACCCATCCACGCCGTCAGATTCTGTGCAAGCTCAAGTCAGGCAGCTGCAAAGATAGCAGCACTTCCAACCATCGCGAGCCATTTTTAGTTCCAACGGAGTAAAAAGATTGTCCTTTGATTGAGAAAAGAAGCGTTATTCTTTTTCATTTTCCCAGTCCGTGCACCAACAAGGACAATGAGAAGGAAATTCTGGAGCCGCCCCTGGGCAGCATGCTGGACTTCGCGGCCCTGGACGAATTGGACCCAAGCCTTGGTGCGCCCACTAAACGTAATGCAATGTGTAGGACCTAAGGCAAGGGCCCTAGGAAGAAGAGAGCTAGCGCCCCCTTGCAACAAGGGCGCAAATTCTAGGGCATCAAAGCACAAACGTTTGGATGGCCAATGGAAGGTTCGACTTGCAAATTTACTTTGCGATTATTGTAATAATGCATTGGTTAAAGAACAAATGGCATCCAAATCACTGTTGCGTTGACCGATGAGATCCCATATCAAGCCTTGGCGGATTTCCCTTACACAAATGGAAGAAACATCGCAAGGCGTAACACATGGGAAATGTGCAAAACGGTTGTGCTTTGCATTGTGCAATGCAGATGTTGCCATTTCTGAAAGGGTTTCAGAGGCAAACCTTGGTTCACCTGGCGCATCAGCTCTAGGTCCCATGGCGCCACGACCCGGCGCTCACGGCATTGCCGTTGATCCTCGTGCATTGTACCACCGGACGCGACATGCAATTCGCAGTGAAATTATGTTCAAATTATCGAGCATTCACGTGACAGGGGCCCTCATTGCCTCCCCAGGTCCAAGCCCTTGATTTGCCATGTGCTTTGGCAAATGTGGGCGACAATTATTCACACACGGGCGCGCACATGATATGGCAGTGTTGCGGTTTCCTGCTGGTGACATGGGCATACGATATCATATGGTACCGTGCGGTATCGCTGCCTGATCGTCATACGATATTTTTGGGGTGCGCAGTTGACGGCCACCGCCTGTACGTTGAGAGGGAGGTGCCTTTGGAGGTGCGGGCATACGACGGTGCCAACTTCCCCACGGAGGTGAGTTCCTTCCTGCTTCCTTGCTAGCCAAGACAGACTCCATTCAATTCCACTTAACACCCCCGGTGCCACTTCGAGGCGCAGTGTTTGGACACGGCTAGACACGCCCAAACCGAGATCACAGGCGCCACCAGGATGACGCGACGCTCCACGACGAAACACCATCAGCGCCACAACGCGACGACATATGACGCAATATGATCTGAACTTACGTCATGTGACGTGCAATGCGGCGCGCACAGGTTGGGAGCGTGGAGTCCCTCCAGGTGAAGGTCCTGGTCGCGGGCGAGATCAAGAGGCCTGAGTCGATAAAGGTGACACCCGCAAACGGGCAACTCCCCCGGCAAACGGAGAAACCGAGTACCAAATGTCACTCTGGTGCACATAAAACATTACCATCAATAGATGGGAAGAAGTTTAAAGGAATCTAATGCCAAAGGTACAGTCAAATTTGGTCATCCCTGTGATTGGCGCCGTCGGTGGAGGTGAGGCGCTCACAAAGGCCAGCCCCTCAGAGGCAGGAAAGAAACAAATTATGCTCCCTCCGTGAGCAGAACACTGGCGCCCAGTAGCATTCTTATGTCGACTTTGCGCCCAAAAGAGTGCTAGGAAATGAGATAACGTGGATTTATTTTATGTCAAAATGAACCAAAATACAAAGTCATTCGTACTGACGTTCGCGGAAAGAGCACAAGAAGCACAATGGGAATGGAACTTACATGAAATTGGAATAGCAATATTTGGTTTGAGAGCGGCGATTGCAACCCAAAACTCTGAGTCGCCCAATACGGTTGCAGGAGATTGTTCTCCAAATTCTGGTATTAGCATGCGATTCAATGACGCGCTTTTCATCCGGAGACAGTGCATACTCAAACATGCATGACATACTCCAAAATGGCGCGTCGTTCCCGACCGACCATCTTGACTGCGTCGAAAGGTTAATTAGCAATATCCCTGGGGATATCTCCATCGCAGTACTTGGTGCGTATCTTGTTCTGATTGGCTTGTTGCTTTCGTTCAGATTGAGATCACCAGCGAGAACAACCTCTTCTTCCACTACGTGCACGAGATGAACAAAGAGGGCTTCGCAGAAATGGCGGTATGGAAATAAGCATATTTTCCCTTGCAATGTTGTATTTTTGGAATATTGCGGCATTCCAATTTCATTATTGTGCCCATACACACATGCGGATGACACTCCTCACTGTTGTATTACCAATTTGCCGGAACTGCCAGTTTGAGATTTTCGAATTCTGCGCGGGTACCCTTGCATTCTGATAGCATTTGATTGCATCTTCTGTCCAAACCCTCCAATATTCTGCCAAACTCTGTTTTCTCAGTTACTGTTTTGAATTTGCGAAAATTCGACTTTCGCATTTTGCACTATATTCAAACGTGTCGGAGTGGTTTTGAATGCGGGAAGGAATTTCCCAACGCCGATGGATTACCCTCCACAAAGTACTTTAAATCATCAGCATTTCGTTGTTCAACCGACAACGATGCAGCGCAGAATTTGATGGAAATCGTCAAACCGGATACTCATTGCAATATGCAATCCAAGCTAGCGAAGATAAGTTAGAAGTTAAAGCAAGCAATGACTTTTGGAGACAATGCAAGCTCAGCGTACTTGAGCAAAAACGCCCTTCCCAAAATAGTTCGTGCAAGGCCAATCACCAATTACCAAGTGTTGTGCCCTTTCGACCGAAAGAAGCCTTCGAATGGTGCAAAGGTGGTTGATTGTGCACGTGTAACAGCGACAGCACTCAACGCAGTACTGTCGTGATTGGGGCGCAGGAGGCCCAGCGCCTGGTGATCGACTTTGCTGAGTACGGCTCCCTGCTGGTTCGCCTCATCGCCAGCTGCCTCAAAGAGCCCCAGGCCTTTTTGGGCGTAATGGTGTTCACGCGGGACAAAGCTGCAAGGCTGGATTTCATTCAGGTGCGCCAATGGCTCAAAACAATGTAACTAATATCTTACCTTTTTTTCGCAACAATAGAATATTTGATTGCAATGAGTGCCAACAGTACACACTCGTAGTTCTGTATAATTGATGTGATTTTCACCGTGTTTCATAGTTGACGTGCATTTGCTAGCGCAAGTGCAAATACCACTTATTTGCGCTATTTTGATGCATTATGGATGCCATTTTCAATGGGTAGTAAATTGCAGAATTGCGTCCTGAAAGTTCTCGATGCGAATTCAGTACATCCATTTGCTGAATTCGTGTTTTGATTTAATATGCTTCTTGAGTTGATCCAACGAACACATCAAATAGTTGAAAAAGACGCTAAACGCAACAGTGGCATCTTTAGAATGTGAGCCACAAATCAGAAGTCTATTTAGCCGGATCTGATGGACACGTTTTCGTGGTGATATATGAGCTGCAGTTGAGCAGCACTCATGCAGGACGGAAACTTCGAAACAAGCAAGAACGTAAGGTGCACGTCAAATATTTGATTCTTACGTAAGCGCTAAAACAACGCAAGCTAGCGATTGTCTTGCATGTAATTGAAGCGCAGCATCAGGGCGACAGAGTGTCAAAATGACCTCAACATCAAAATTCGAAATTAATTCAGCCAATTCGTCCATTATAGAGAAACGAGGCCCGGCCGCCGCCGGCGGGGGCCAACGCCCTTGGCTGACTGGTCAACGCGCTGCCGCCGCAGAACATGGAGCACAAGTTCGTGGAGTTGCTGTCTCTGAAATTCGTGGCATCGCCGGATGAGGTGGTCAGGCGGTGCCTGACATACCGATACAACAACGCCAAGTCCAAGCTAGCGATACTGCAGGCAAAGATGGCCGACGTCAACGCACTGGTGGGTCACAAAACAACACTGCTTAGCGGTGGTACATACGGACCCATATTGTTCCTAACCGTAGGATGACCGAAGCGCGACAAGGGAAAGGCAAATGCAAGCATAAGTAACTGAAATAGAAATAACAATAAATGTACATGGAAATGAAAATGACGGGTAACAAACAGCAGGGAATTGTGGCAAAAGCGATCCCCTGATTGAAGCACTGACTACCAAGTCCCACACACATACTATTAGGACCATATTTTTTAACATTAATGCCTAATTTAAATTTATTGTGTTCATTGCCTATCTTTCATTATGGATTTGTCAGTGCAACTATCGCTCTGCCGGACTGCATTAAGCAAGGAATAGGGCAAGGGCAAAGTAAAAAACTGCATGGTCGTTGGACTTAAACTTGGGAGGTTGGCATGACGCTAATACGGAATGAGAACATCCCAGCTCATGAGGCGCAAAGTGCTGTGTGAAAAATGAAAGCCACCTTTGCTGGAAGTACGTCGGCGCCAACAGCACATGGGCAAGAAGGTTTACTGCTTCCTTTGTGCCGGTGGAAACAAGAGAAAAGTAGGCATATGTTTATGCAGGCGAAAATTAAAGACAAATGGGTGATTTATTTGCAGGTGAAAATTAAGAACCCAAGCCTACTCCTCCACCTCCAGAAGACGCCGCTGAACACCGGCAGGAGGAATCCTTTCCTGTCCGGTTAGGTCGGCGCTGCCGCCCTAATTTGGGGGCCTTTCTGTCCTACTTAGGGACTCCCGGCGCTGCCTGCTAAGCCGCCGGGTCCCCGGAACCAAGACAGGGAGCCGTGGAGAGCAATGGCGCGGAGAGGCCAGGGCAGCGGGGGCGCGTTCTGGCGCGGCTTCCGCTTTTTTGTTGACCAGTCCAACATAGTCGTTGACCAGTAGATTGCAAAAGAGGGGGCTGCAGGGTGCAAGGCGACTCGGGGTCCAAGGGCTAGGCAGTCACGCCATTTTCTTGCGCGTCAAGTATCAAGCTGGTGCAGCCTTAGTACTTAGCGGTACTCAACGCTTGGTGCTCAGTACGTGGTTCACTTTCGCATCTTGGCACGCCGTTGCTCCCTGCGAGCGCTCTGAACCAGGGGGAACGCGCGGGGCTGGGAAGCCTCTAAGATGTAGCATGCCGTGTGTGCAGCCGTCTCCAAATTGCTGCACTGCGTTCATTCGACCAATGTTGCTTCCACGGGCTTTGGTTTCTTTTTTGGCGGCCTCAAAGCGTCAGTAAAGTGTCCACTATCCTGGATAAAATATCCTGGAAAGAACAGGATACGGGGATTACCATATCCTGGACATGAGCGCCATATCGTGCACCTGGGTACCGCATACTGGGTGCGGGCACCGTATTATCCTGGATACGCAAATCCAGGATATGCATGTTTTTCCGACGTATTTTGGCTGAAAAGTGTGACCATTGCCCTTCCGCCAGGCGCTAACCTCCGCCGCTCCTCGCAACCTCTCGGTGCTCCTTCCAGCCGAAGCCTGGGTGCAGCTGCGAGGAAGCCGTCCCCACGTCACCCGGCCGGCGATTGCTTCATTGACCTCACCCACCAGATGCGTCGCCAGCGTGGGCACAATGCAAGCAATACGGGCAGAGCAAATGACTGCCAGCTACTCAGTATTTGGCAGTCAGACTGAATGAACCACCAAGTACTAATTTCACAGCTGAGTAGTACCTGCTCAATGCCCTGGTAGGGAGCCAAACCAGGATCGTTGCAGGCCTCCGTTAAGGGATCGAGTGAGCCGGACACCGCGCTTCGTCGCCTAGAATCCCTTCCGCAGGCCGTGCATTGTGGCGCATCAAGCGCATCCAGTAAAGGAGATCGCAGTTTGATCAACACGGGTCAGCCACGTTGTGGACACCACAGCGGCGGATACAAAGCAGGATCGAGATGCAAGAGCAGCCTAAAGGCAGCGAAGGCTGTTCTGGTTCCCAACACCGCCAACAACGGCATGCTCCGCTGCTAAACCGAGACTCTGCGCGGCTCCAACGAAGGACCTTTGCCGTTGCTGGTTTCCGCAACAGCAGGTCGCTCTGGCATTTGACCAGGCCTAGCTCGCCCTCCTTTCGACGCGAGAACACTGGCAACATGTTGCCCATTCAACACGGCTTCTAACTGCGATCAGGTTTTGTTAAGAAGAAGACAGCATCGCCTGTTTGAGGTTACAACAGTGAGGACATGGGACCCAATCGTGTTCTTTCAACCGTGCTGTTGATATTACTTTTCTCCGGTGGAACGGTCGCCGCACTCTGCGGCTGAGCCGCCCGACCTGTTGCCGCTTTTGGCTCCGCAATTCCACCTTTACAAGTGGCACTGCAAAGCTCGCCAAAGGCCGTGATTCAGGAGGATGCCAACAGACGCAGCCTGGGCGACCTTGGCAAGGCGGCTGTTGAACACCAAGGAGGATCATGTCCTTACAAGAGACCGACCGCAGCCACAGGGAGGCTCGATTAGTCGTTCCGCCAGCGCTGCGATCGAATCAATACTCGGTCAGTAGTTTGGCATACTTGGGTACATACCCAGACCCGGATACTGGCACTTCTCGGGTATAGGCATTCAGTGCACCAGCCCAAATGGCGCAAGGCCAACGAGGTGTACCCTTGGGCGCTCAAGGGAGTTTGGGTGGAGCCGGGTGGCCGGGCACATGAAGTTCCTGCACATGGACAGTGCACCTGGCTGAGCGGGCAGCTGGGTACTATCCCACCAGCCACAGCGCAGAGCAGTGCCAAAGCAGTTCCAACAATTGCAACTGGAAAGTTCGAGTGCCAGATAGTCCCTTCAGCCCCCTAGAGCAGATGCAAAACAACACTCATCGCCTTCGCTTGCTACCTGCATCCAGACCCTTGCCCTCGATCCAAATGCGGCCAATGGCAGGGTGTACAGCAGCCTCAACCCGCATTCTAGTCCAGAAAGCGTCCTACCGGCGCCCAACGACGAGATCCGCTGCCGCCGCCAAGACGTTCACAAGCTGGCTCCCCTGGAGCGTCAGGTGACAGAGAAAGCAGCTCCACACCGCCAGGGGATTGTTTCTTCATCCCACAACTCAAACGGCCTCTTCGTCTCATCTCTTTTCCCCATTTCCTATGATTCCTCTCCATGCCATGTATATCCTCTTGCTCACACCGCAATCTCACCCACGAATCTGCCCATCAGCAGTTTGGCGCCTGTATTTGGCCAGCTGTGCATCGCAGCCAGCACTTTGCGATCAGCGTGCTTTGCATTCAGTACTTTGCGTTCACCGGCTGGGTCATGTCCTTGAAGGGAATGAAGTCGTCAGGGAACCCATCGCCCTTCTTCGGCACATACTGCCAGACGCCCTGTCGCAGGCACAAAGTCCAAATGTCACACCGTGTCGACATTTTGTCAGAATGCTCTGCCCAGCAAACCTAAAGAACTCCTAATACTAGGAACTCATCTCGAATTTGGGACCCTCTGCTGTGAGTGGTACCTTAGCAACACCTGGGCATGGTTGTCAGTCCGCTTTGGGTGGCCACACAGAAGTTGACAAAATGCAGGTCCCCTTCGATCGGCACATTCAATCATCCCCCATGAACACACTGTTCTTGTACAGTTGGATGGCAACATAGCCCTCGGTGGCTGAAACGCTAATAATGGAATCTCATAGTCATCAATCCCCCTGCTGTGGGGCTTTCACATATAGAATGAAGGCGTCTGTTGGTAGGGGTTGGCGCACCGTGAGTGCAATGAGGATCAAGCAAATTCCAACCCAGGACGCTGATCGTGGACCCATTTTCAGCTTCACTGCGCAAGGCCAGGGCGCTCCACAACATGGCAACCAAACTCAAGACAGATTCAAAATGACAAAATTGAGCAGAAATTCAGCAATATAAGACGAAGCAGAGCACAACCAGAATGGCAACGTGTTGGTGACAGCGATCTCACCAGAGGCAGATGGCTTCTTCGAGCCACTGGGCTGCATGAATACGCCTCCCACTGGGGAATGGATGCCCATCTGGAACACACACACACACACACACACACACAGTGGTGTTTCAATACTATCGAGCTCATTTGTCTCTGTACACTTCCATCTATGCTTTCTATGCTTTTGGCCATATATTGTTCATATGTATTTCGAAGCTCATTTCTCGAGCCGCCTTCGCGCAGGAGGTCTGTCTTCCTTAGCTGCAAGGTGCATGTACTGTGTTATCCCGTTCCCAAACAAGTACTGTATTCCATATCAAGATTAGTAATGTTCCATGCCACAGGCTTCCATCATGTCTGAAAATTATAGTATTTATCAACAAGCCTATTGTGCACAGGCGAATTTCAACACAAAGTCACACCTCAAGAATCACAGTGGGTAACACGGTTGGGTAATACAAAGCAGGCCACAGCAAAGAATTGCCGTTATTTGGTTCAATCACAACGTACCACACCCAGCCATACTACTCACGCAGCCATCTGGAGGACATACACAACAACACGCTACAGTTACGGCTCTCAAGAAGCTTTAGTTTCAAGCACAAAGCTGGCCCCATTCAGGGCACGAGTTTTAAGATTGTCGATAGAATCGAAATTCAATCTGATCACCTGCACTTTCCTTATCAATTATCTTCTTCAAACGTCTGCTTCCTTCTGACATCGAATTCAAATCAAAGCAGCACAGCGACTTCAGCATACACATGGCAAGCTCACTCATGCACACTGGTTCAAGGCCCAGTACTTTATTGTAGTTTGCTGTTACCTCAATGCTTAACAATACTGGGCCTGGAAGGGTGTCAATGCATCATCGCATGCATCCCACCTGCTGGTCACCGTATACTCCTCCCCCTTTCTGTCCACTGAGAGCCCCCGGAATCCATCTGCACCCCTCATGCCAACCTCCCTGCATTTCCACTCTGTCTCAAAGGCGTCCGTGAACTGCAGCGGCACATGGTACCTGCACAAGCAGCCCCAACCCACACGCTTCTATCCAAATCGCCTTGCTATCAATGATGCACAACAACAGCAAATCGGGGCTTGTTGTCTTGGCCAGCTCTACACGGCAGATGGCATCTGTATGCTGCCGAAATTGACAACCGATCACCCTGGCAACTTGGATGCATCCTGGCCTTACTTTGTAACTTGTACAGCAACTACTAACTGCACTTTCGTGCATGGGGTGTGGAGATATCCACATCATATATTTGCACATCATATATATACACAGCATACATCATATCTATTTCCACTACCTGTTGGTATTCGAAAACTCCTTGACGGGCTTGTCAGAAGGTGATGCCTTTGCGGCCACCGATGTCTCCTTATCGAAAGCAGAGGGCTGGGCCTCAGACAGCGATGGAAGCGTCTGGCACACAACACCAGCCACAGAATACGTGTGAGTCTCACAGCACCTACAACGGCATCCAATGCACAGACAGTAGCGTTCACCTTAAGTCAACCAAGGCTGTCTTCAAGCACAGCGCACTGGGGAGTTGCTAACAGGGATCACCTAAGCTGGCTGTCCACAAGAGTACTTATGTGTTCCACAACAATGTGCAAATAATGCACAGTGTGGTGCTCCATGCAGTTGCTGACAAAGAACTGACTTGGGATGAAACAGCCTAGGCATTGTTTATCAGAAAGAAAGCTGGTGTCGGAAGGGTGCCCATGGCCATGGTTTTGCGCAGCACAACAGCGCACGCCACTTCTACCCACTGTACGTCACTGCTCCAGAGCCCTCCCTGGCACAGATATTACATTTGGTTTCAGGCTCTGGGGTACGGTAACCACAATTCTGGTTACAACTCACAGCAAATTGACACCACCGACAACAAGCCAGCTTTCTAGTTTTGGCTTCCTGATGGGTACAAACTGCTCCAGAATTGGGGGGGTTTGGAGAGGAAAATGGGGTGACGATTTTTGTTCAGGATTGCATGCTTCAGAGCGGGCGTCGCTGCTTAGGCACCAAGACACCAACAAACACAGTGTGCACTCATGTTCACCACACCCCAAGGGAGTGTTGACAACATGGTAACAATTGTGACCAAGCAGAGCCACTCTAGGCAGTATTTCACATCGTACTGACACGTGTGCTGGCATCGAAAGTCACCCTCACCACTTCCACAGGTGCAGTTCCATTCTGCTGATGGGCATTGCTGCCATTTAGGGCAGCGTTGCCACCAACCTGATGAGGGAAAGCACAAACTGAATCGATCAGATTCTGCTGTGTCAAAACAGGCAAGAATCAGCAGTTCACATGGCCCCTCCCTTCCCCCCCCCCCCAGAATTGCACTCAGTGCTCCAAAGTCTGTGCTGAAAGCCCTGGGCAGATCAATTCCAATGGTGATTTGCACACTATATAACTTATCCCAGGCTCTTGCCCAAAGGGATCAGCTAACAAACTCCAGCAGTGAGCTCATGGATGACAGTGAGTCCCGCCCCTGCTCCGTTCGTCGTTCCCCAACAATGACAGCACCATCTGCTCAGTCTGCAGACCATTGGCTGGATCGCATGGGGCCCTGCTAATGTGGTATTGCAACCATGGGTTGTGGATTGCCAAGCATGCAGCCACCGGCCACATCGACCACCCCATTGGAGCAAGCACTCTGGACCAGCGCCAAGGAGGACGTCAGAGGGGGTCTTTCTCGCAGCAGGCGCTCATCGCAGATGAGGCCACCTCAGTCTGTTCCCAAGAGAAATAAAAAGGAAAAGGAACAAGGGGAAATGGGCACATGGAAAAAGGAAACCAGAGCAAAGTAAAATTGGAGAAATGGGGGGAGGCGGGCAAGGCGCGGCGCAGCTCCAGGCGATGTCCAGACAGCCATGCCAGCGTTCAAACCATTTGCCTTTGCCTGACCGCCCAACAGAGTGCGCACTCGGGCAGGCCAAGCCGGCCAGGCGTGTCCCAGAGGGTACCGTGGACTCGGTCTCGAATCCACAGGCACAAGGGGGCCGGCGCCCAGTTCCCAACGGCAAGGACAAGGCAGAGTCGAGACTTGGTGGGCGGGCAAGATGCGTTCAAAGGGGGTGACAAGCAGGTCATGAAAGGGCACACCCTTCCTAACACGGTGCGGGCGAGAATCCTGTTTTGCGCCATACCCCCCCGGGGGGGGAGGGGGGGGAGGGAGGACATGCGGTGCAAGGAAAACGGGCGCGAGAGGAGTGGCCTCCGAGAACGCCCTGCCCACCGCCGCCCGGCTGTGACAGCGGCGCACGTGAGCCGTCCGACAGCGAGGGCAGTCAGGGCTCGATCGCCGCCGGGCGGTCGTGCGCCCACACCCATGTCCGATGCCGGATCGCATCGCCAATCCCGACGGCACCTGCCCCCCGGAACTGGACACCACGCGGCAAAAGAAAGTCGAGCGCGGAGCTCGCGGGCGTCCCTCCGTGGATCCCCCGCTTCAAAGGGCCCCCAAAAGGGCATACTTTCTTCTCGCGACTAAAATTATTCGCACAAGCGGAGATCTGCGGGGCGAACGAGCGGGAGAGGACGCCATGTGGGCAGAGGGGTGGCGACTCTGATGGCAGCTTGGCCTTGAGAGGCCGCATCGCCTTGGCCCTCGCCGCGCACCTTACAGACGCCCCACCACCTGTGGTGCGGCAGCCTGGCGTGGCCTCTGGGCCCGGCGAGTGATGACGCTGCCTTGTGGCTCAGCGCACCGGCGCCCAGTGTCGTCGTGGGCTGCATCCCCTTTGCGCAAAAACAACCCGCGACAGACTCAGCCGATCACACGTGACGGTGGAAGAATTCAAACTGGGTGGCAGCAGAGGCAAAGCGCTTGGAATAGGACAACACCCACCCGGTTGAGTATTTGAAAATAGGGATGGGGTGTGGCCGATTGATTGGCGCGGTGGCCCCGGGCGGCGGCTTGGAGAAGGCGGGTGGGAGGCCGGTGTTCGGAGAGTGGGGCGACCGTTGCGGGGGCAAGGCGGGGGGGGGGGGCTGGGAAGGGGGAGCCGGGCCGTGGGCCGTTCGGTGTGGGTGGGCGTTGCGTGGAAGTGTGTATGGACGGCGAGCACGTTACGAGCGCCTGACGAGGACCCTCGCGTTGGGTTGGGTGGGTTTGCGCCATTGTCGCGCCAGCTTGACGACAGTCTTGGAGCCGGATTTGAGTTTTGTTTATTTATTTTTTTCCAATTTTCTGTTGGAGTGCTTCGTTATCTTTGGAAAAATGGCGGAAGGGGGTTCTCTGAGCGCCCGCCGTACGCCCTGCACCCGACACCGGACCGGCCGGCGGAACGGCAACGCACCTGATGATGAGGGCATCAAAGGCGGGGGATGTGTGTTTTTGTGGTCCAACTTGTGACCTCGGAGGTGGATGACTGCGAGTGGGAGCGTCCGCTGGTTGTGCACTGTGCACTGAGCACACTGCAAACAGTTCAAAACAAACCACAAAAGAGGCAAAAGCTTCATCCGCCTGACTGGATCGCCCAAAGGCAACGCATCCACAACAATCATCGGGTGTGAGCGCAGCGTGCGCGGGCATGACGCGCGCAGCACGCCGAGCGCGTGCGCGACGACGCAAACGGGCGCCGCGCCTCCCCCAGCAGACGCTCCTCGCCACACCGAACCCACCGTCCTGAACTACTGGCCGGCCCTTCCCGCCCAACAGCACTGGACAAATATTCCTGAAGCTCTGCACGAAATACAAGCAAGTTTCCCAAAAGTACTGCGCAACTGCCCAACCACCCCCGGCAAAAAGCCGCTCCACCCCCCCGCCTTCTCTCAGTCCTCCACTTCCCCCTCCGCCATTGAAAAAAAAACGGGCGGGCACTTCGAACGGTGCCCTGGTCCGGGGGGGCCAAGCCGGCGGGCCACCGGGCCCAACCCCGGTCCCTGGGATCCGCCCGTCGGCCGGACCGAGGCTCCTGGCCCGGCCAGAGGGCGCCCGGGGGCGCCCGGGGGGGCCGATTCGATCGCCCATGGGCGCCTGCCTGAGCTGCGGCCTGCTGGGCGCCAGACGACGCAGGCGGCGACGGTTGGCGAAGGGGAGGGCGGGCAGCGGGGCGGGGGACGGAGTATTTGGCGCAGGGGGAAGCGGGGCATCCGGTAAGATTCGTTGCGAAAACGACGAGAAACGGATCGTAAAATTGAGTTGTTAAGGAACGGGTCATTAAAAATGTTGAGAAGCAGGTCATAAAACAGTGTGTTGCGAAGAACCGAGACAGTTTGTGAGAAAGAGGGCGAGAAACAGCTAATGCACGGGGCACCCCCTCCTCAGCGAGTGAGCGTGAGGGTCTTTTCTGTGGTGCAGTCTGCATTTGGGCAAGGGGAGTGCGCAACACGAGCGCCATGAAGAGCGGGAAAAGATGCACCCAGGGGCCGTGGGGGCCGGCGCGGGAGGCGCGTGGCGCGAGGGAAATGCGATGCGTCGGGAGGTGATGATTCTGAGAATTAGCGGAATTGTTTATTTTTGCGGATTTGTGTTTTTGCTTCGGACCACACTCTCTTGGTTGTTTTGGTTTGGGTGCATTAAGTACCTTGATGAAGGGAGGAGTCAGCCAGTACTTGGGAGCGCAGCTGGATGCCCCTTGCGGTGGGCAGGACTAACAGCACAAGGCAGCAGCAGAGGACGGTTTTGGCAGCTTGCGGGGTGAAGGGTCCATCAACGGCATGCGATCTGCAGCTTGAGATGGAGCACTATCAAAACCTGACAGAATGCATCCGAATTTGGGGCACCGAAGTTGGAGGAGTTTGGTGGGCCATTGCCCCCACGTTGGTGTTAGGCGGGTTCTACAAGGCGAGAGGTTGAGGCTGGATGTGTGCAGCACAGCTGCGGGCCGGTCTAGGATATGGCAGTTCGCATGGAGATGGATAGGGCCACAAGACATCCACCAGACCGGGTGGCAGGATGCAATGAAGATGTCCAGGATGCTTTGATGAAGAGTTGCAACTTTTCACTGGCACATTTGAAGTATTTGCCTACGTTTGTGGCAATTTTCCCATCGCCCGCAACGCTTGCATTGACAGTGCTTTATGGATTACATGGGTCTGGAGAAAAGTGTTGCAATTTTCACCAAGGTATTTTGTCCATCCGTGCTACTGCACTGCAAGTGCTGTGTGTCCTGCGTGATTCTATTATGTTGAACATGTATAAGTGCATAAGGGATAGCACTGTCAGGTGAAAGCAGGTAAGATTTTCACACCTTTCAGGCAGTGATGGACACGATTCTATCCAGTTGGCTTGAAGAAAATCTCCTCAATTCCACCTGGAAACCAAAGGCAGGAATGAGAAGAGCGCATCATTCTGGCCATGTGGAGCAGGCACTGACTGTATTCCCAACAGCAAGATGCCACTGACGTGAATGGTGGTGGCTGTCTGCTGCAGGGCTGCCAGCCGAGGGGGGCTGCAGGAATCAGGAGAGGAGGGCTGAGAGCCTGGTGTCAAGTGAGTGGTTGCCCGTCACGGATGGGGCCAAATGGGTGGTCTGGACAGTGGTGGTCAGTTCCTCTCATCGCAACTGCCAGAATGATAATACACTGTGCATGAATGGCAACAAATCGCAATCGTTGCACTCACGAGAGTTGTTCAAGAGTGTCTTTTATTTGGTTCAGTCAATGATTCCTGGAAATTTATGCAAAGAGGGGTTGTGTGAGGCAATTCCAGGCATGGTGAGCCATATGATGGTATTTTGCAAAGACTGGCAACGTGACGACAATGCATCGTGAAAGTGTTGGCAACCCCATTGCATCTGCAGCACAGCCTTCAGTGCTTTTCGCAGAGAATTGTCTGTGCTGAGAAGCAGCTGACAAAACAAGCAACCCATCCCAGTTGTGGTCCAACAGAATCGTGGTCAGAGGGTTAGGGATCTGAGCTAACGGAACTGGGATGATATTCTCATCTGTAGTTTGCAGCAACATTGGGCAACTCAATGTATCACATTTTTGGCTCATCACTATTTCAGACAGAACAATTTGTGCATAGGTACGCCTGCCCCATCAACAAAGTGAGGACTGGGCAGCGCCACTGTGCTTCCTGGGTGTTGGCCTTGTGTGCTATTCTCTGCAAGGAAACAACACTGTGTGTAGACGCATGTATGCGTTTACATGCAAGGGCAGTGCTTCTGTTGCTTGTTGCCAAAGGCAGACTAAATAGCCAACCTCAGATGGCTGTTGTCATCGTCTTATTCGAGAATGCATAACACTATAAGCCCGATGGCATGCAGCTTCAGTGCGATTCTGCCCTTGGACACATATGTTAAGAAATTAAAATGAAAAATTTGAACAACAAAATAGATAGAAGTAGAGGTAAGAGTGGCAAGTATTGGTAAATATCAATCATAAGTAATGGGAGGAAAATTGGATGGAATCGCTGACCCTGTGCCAAGTTGGAAGAGCTTTCCAGACACATGTGCTTGGAGATCAGCGCTTTGGCTTCTTAAGCAGGAGAAGTCTTTACGTTTGTTTTGTAAGGAGTTGGTGGACTTATCTGGGAGGGATGCGGCAGTGCTCTCAAAGCTGATGTGTGCAACGAACCACTCTTGTCTCAGGTGAAGGCGATTTTTTCGACTGTGAATCAGAGTTTTCGGATTCCCCAGGTGGGGCCCATGACATCATTTTCGAGATGCTCTTTCTTGAAGAGTATTGGACATATCCACCTCTTGCACCAAATGTTTGATAACCAGAGTTAGCACACAAACTAACAGAATGATTGGAGAGCTTGATTCTCTAACTGGCAGTAATCTGCTCTCTGACAGTTTTGTTTCATCCTTGAGGGTCGTCATTTGGGAAATATGTAGCTGACATAGACCAGCAGAGTGATTGATGAGTGAGGCACTAGCCCACTGGGCTGTTATTGGTGCCCAGAAAATCTCTTTATGATTGAGCTGAATGGGCTCAGCTGTGTGAAAGTGCCATCTTCCATCACAGAAAGACAGATGAGGAAAAAGAAAATGTCCTGCCAACAGATGGGAAGATTCTTTTGTTGATGGTGTAAGGTGCACAGTAGCCAGGGTCGGGTCGGAGATTCTGGTTTGTCACAATGATTTGGATTGGTCTGAGCTACTGATCGAAAGCATAAGTTTGAGGCTCCTGCTTGGGGACTCGCTTTGCGAAAGATCCATCAATTTGAATGGGATTGCCGCTTTCTGACCCATCTACCAGAACAGCACAATGGCAACAACCGTGCGGCATGTTACCCTATGGACAGTTGACCAAATCCCTTCCTCACTCCTGCCTGTGCCTGTCACGCTGACAACAGCCTCTCAAAGACAGTCACCTGCCAGGGATGGACTGCTGAAGCCCCGAAGAACACGCTGGGTCCCAGGGGCGACACCCCTTCCAGATTGTTTGCAACCCCAGCCCACTCAGGGGACACTGTCCTATCTTTGGGTAAGTCCTCAACAGGCTGCATGCGATGTGCCTTGCTGTGGCCAATTGGGATGTTGCCGTGGCAACACTGTGCTGTTTAATGGCCACTGAACCTGCACAATCTTGGTCCACCTGGGAGAAATGGCCAAGACCACTCCAAGAATGGTGCTGAAACAATGTGCAGTGAATTAGAACAAAAATACACTTGAGGTATCAATATGGCACTGCACTGTCAGAAGTTGACATCAGCAGTGAATTGCATTCTTTCGCTTCGTTGGAATTTTGGTGGATGAGTACGTTGCTTCCTCACCCATGTTGCTGCTGACATATACCAGCAAGGGGCCACAAGGAATGATTATTGAAGATTGATGTCTGGCTTTAGTATTGTTAATTGTTCTTTGTCATACATCACCATATTGCTGTGAATGCATCACCATGCTCCAGACCTCTGCACACATTTTATCATGGTTTGTCAGTCTTTCATGAATAAACCAACCCCTTGCATACCTTTGCCACACTGGCGTTTGATGCCTTCCACAATTCTTTTTACTTATTTCGAAAATCGTGTCGCCTTTTTTCTGGCTTTGCACTTCTGCTTCTGCTACTGTGGCTCCCTTCTACCCTGCCAGCCTTGTGTGCATGTGCATATTTCTGTGAACTTTTCAAAACATAAAATAGGAAATTGTTGCTGTGCCGCTCGTGTGCATATTTTTATGAACTTTTCAAAACACAAAATAGGAAATGGTTGCTGTGCTGCTTGTGTGCACTGCAGGATGTGCTGTCCAGACGTGGCTGGGTTGCACCCATGCCCATCACTGAAGAAGCTTGCTCGGATGGATCCAAGGCACCGGAGGTATGTGTAGCTGTGGAATGCGCTGTGAATTGCAGTTGCAATGGAGCACGGCACAATTTCCACTTGGAAGTTGTACTGTACATACACGTGGCATTGCAAATTTCTTTGCTTATATGCCATTGCATGCCCTTCTATGCAGTACTCTTGTACAGCGCCATGCAAGCTTTAAATTGCCCTTGTAAAATCAACTCCAGTGACAGTTCCTCGTGTGGCCTCCATCGAGGGCACCGGACCCCGAAATGTGTGTGTGACATGCATGACTGAGAAGTGTGAGGCGTTCTCTGCCTTGTGCCTGTTCATATTATGCTGCAGAATCATTGGTCCCAAGCAATGATTCAATTGGGGAGGGCAGCCGAGTGGTACAGAAATTGCTTGAGAATGGGTGTCTGGCTTGAGTTGCAATCCCTTTGTCGCAGTCAGAAGCATTTTGGTAGGCAGCATGCCCCGAACACAGAACCAAAATGCTTGCGGCGTTAACACAAGTAAATGCAATCAAAAATGCAGTTCAATATCTGTCAATGCCTGCCAATGCAATCATGCTGTTGATACAGTTTGCGACGATGTGTATCCATGCTTGTGCAGTTCTCAGAAGTGGTTTCTGTGGAGCATGATGGCGACAGCGCATCCACATCGTCAGTGGTCGATGATGCTGTGCCCCAGAGCCCATGCCTGTCTGGCTGCCTCTCCCTGATCAGGGGCTCATCGCTGGGTGCCAGCCATAGGGGAGCCTTGAGCCACAGGAGATGCTATGCTGCAAAGCCCATCGCGGGAGCCTCCCTCAAGGTAGCAGAGGCACGCACATTGGATTCTGAAGGCACCACTGTTGGTGTTTCCACTGGGCTGTACAGTGTTATGCTGTGCTGTGCTGCTTGTGTTGCACGTATGCTGGCTGTGTATAGGAGGCACATCATCGTTGTGGTCATGTTTGATGAACGATAAGCAACGCCTGCACTGGCGATATCAGGCACTGGCCCAAGCATGTATACTCGATTGAGAACAATATTTATTGTTCTCAATCGAAATCGATTGATCGATTGCTTGCTTGCTTGCTTGCTTTGCTTGCTTTTGATGGATGGATGGATGGATGGATGGACGGACGGACGGACGGACGGACGGATGGACGGACGGACGGACGGATGGATGGATGTATGTATGGATGGATGGATGGATGGATGGATGGATCGATCGATCGATCGATTGGCTGGCCGACTGCCTGGCTGGCTGACTGATTGAGTGGTTGTTTGGTGGGTGGGTGGATTGGTTGGTGGTCTGGCTGGGTATCTGGCTGGCGACTTGCACTGCAGTGCCACAATCAACTTGACCAACCCATGAAACTCACCTTTTTCTGCATGGATTAGCATCTAGACCCCCTTGAGGACCCATCCACCGCCTCCGAGGTGTGGGAGCCAGGCGACCCAGGGCAGTACTGTGTGCGGTCTCGGCAATATATGAAGACAAAAGTGAAGGATGTGTGTGACGGAAGCTTCTATGAGCTGGCGGCTGCCGACCTCTTTTCCTTCGATTCCAAGGAACACCACATCGCCCGCCAATTGCGCTTGCTGGCTGACCCTTACAAGAGGAGTGATGACGAAATGGCATCCATCTTGGAGTTTGGCATCCCGTTGCTGCTCATCATCAACATCCAGCTGCCCACATACCCGGTACTGTTGCGTTCTGGGTACTGTGCACAGTACTGTGCATACCATGTAACTATCTTTTGCTGTTGCATTTCTGGTACTGTGCAGAATATTTGGGACTGTAGTCAGGGCCGAGAACATACTGACTTGTGGGGAGGTCTGAAGCACTGCAGAAGGTGCCATGCATTGGGAAAATATCAGGCATAGTGGGGATTGTGTGATGAACCAGGAATGATGCAATGCACTGGCACATGCACAAAAGACTGTATAAGGTGCAATGCACAGGGAAGTGCATAAACTACTGGAAAATGCAACTGATGCTGGGGAAGCCCTCTGCTACAAACAGTGCCATGGCACAGGATTTGGAGCACGTGTACCCAACATGCAGCATGCACGACATTGTGGTTTACTTCCAATCAAAATCTGAGGGCAAAAAACCATGCAGAGATGTGAATTCTTGTGGTGTGAGGGACATGTCGCCACTAATAATATTGCACTGTCCCCGCACTTCCATCGACCCAAAGAACTGATATTTTCTGTAAGGGTAGGTCCTGTACCAGATTTATTATCACAAGTATGGTGCTTTGGATGTCGACCATAGAAGATCCCAAACTGGCATCCCAGCCTTGGTGTGGAAAATTTTCCAGGCTTATCTCAAAACATGACAGGGCTGAAGGGCTGGGTAACAGCCTATTTCCTCTCCCCTTTTCCCAAACCTATCCCACCCCATCCACCACTCAGTGCCCATTAATAGCAGACGCAAGGGCATTGGTTCCGTGTTTCAGCACAAAGGGTTCTGCAGCAACACACTTTGTGGCGCTGTTGACTGATGGTATGGACACCTGACAGAACTGAGTTGCGACTATCACAGGCAAGCCTGTTTGGAGGCACAGACGGGCCGGGGCACAGCTTGGTTTACCACTTCGTTCTGCGTGAGGGCTTCCATCCCTTGACAGAATGCAACACAGCTGCGGTGGGCCTGCTGCACCGTCTGGTGCACAACGGCCGTGAGGAGACTGGTGATATGGCACGCAGCCGCCTGAAACTCATACCGCGGGTGGTCAACTTGGAGGAATGGACAGCCAATGCTCCACTAAGCAAGACGGTGCGTGGGCCTGCATTCGATGGCTGTTGGTGAAAATGGGACAGGACACCACACTCTTCCATTGTGTGATGTGGAATGCTGATGCAGGGTGAGTGCCTGTGTGGTTCTTTCCCAGCAAACCAACACCTGGGGGTGTTAGTGATAGAACAGTGTGTGTGAACTTGTTGGGAGAAAATCAATGGTGTGATACTATCATCCAGTGTGATTTTGTGTGGATATGACACACATATGCTCATTTCTGTTTTGTCAGTATGAGCACTCGGTGTGGGGCAGCTTCCAGATGTTCAATGGCAGCAATAACATTGTGACAGCAAACTATACACCACAAGAATCACTTCTTGCTAAGAGTAACAACCACCACATGCCATGGTCGATGACATGGTCAGCCTGGCTGCCTACAGCTGCAAGCCAGGTTCCATTCATGCTTTGGATCACCAGATGCCATATGCCCAATTCAGCATTTCCTGCCTTAACATTCCCCACTGTTCTCAGCTAGTGGAAATGTCATCTGCCCACAGGAGGCCCACCTTGTGCACAACTACAATATGAAGCCCCTGCTGACCCGCCCCCAGCACTCCTTCCACCATGGCCCTAGCTATCTGGAGGTGGACCTGGATGTGCATGCCTATGGCTACCTCGCACGCCGTGCCTTTGCCTCTTTTACACCCCGCCTGGCTGGGCTCGTTTTCGAGAATGCCCTTCTCATTCAGGTAAATCCTTGGCGTGCAAATCTGAATGTTCTCAAGGATGTTCTTTGCAACAGGGATACTGTGTGTTTGTGGTGGACACCCCTCTCCCAAAGCACCCTTTCAGACATGGCGAGCACAGCCCACTAGGACCGCCATTGGCATTGTTTAATAGTCACTAGTGCACTGTACCTACTTCTGTGTTCATTGACAAATGCATTACAATTATTCCTGGTGTTGCTACTGAAGACAGTGTTGTTGAGTGCAGCCAAGCATCATCACTAATGTCACATTGGCACAGTGTGCAAAAAGACTTGTGTTCCCCTTGCCATAAAAGGTGTTCCAAGCACATGTTAATGAGACACTTTGCAGCCTGTGAATCACAATCCATTGCCCATTCCCAATCCCCATCTTATTTGCAAAAGGATACGTCGCATTTAAGCATTAGAAGCATAACATTGCTGTTCTGTAGGTACAATATATTGTGCCCCATGTTTGTTTTCTTTGGTTGCATTATCTTGATGGCTCGACAGTTTGGCACCGAACTTGTCACCCATGGCATCATTAGGTTGTCCTCAATCCAAATGATGATGAAACGCTGCCTTTGGAAGTGTTAGCTGATGTGGGCCATTGCTGGCAAAAGCGAGTGCCATCCGTTGACCATTTGAATGTTCCCGTTGAACCCAACTCACGCTGGTGATCCAACACCACAGATGCTGCGATTGTTTCAATCATCCTTGAATTCAAGAATTCTCGATTGCTTGATCTGTTCAGAAGATGTGGGTTGGTGAGTGCGTGCTGGGGTGGGAACTGACCAATCCCTTCCAAGAAATGGGGTACAACAAAGTGCTTAGTGGGTACTGAGCCTTTTACCACTTCTTCACACCCAAATTGCTGTAATGTAGTGTGGTCGAGCTGTTTGTGTCTCTGTTCTGCTTTAGGGCAACAGTGAGGAAGAGCTGCCGGAGATGCTGTTGGGGGTTGCCCGCCTGCACCGCATCGACTTTACCAGGGCCAGGCCGTTCTCGGAGGCTGTGGCAGAGGCAGCCAGGGGGAGCGCTGGTGGCGAGGAAGACGGGACGGTGGACAGCAGGAGTTAGGGCTAGTGTCTGGAGAACCAGAGTTGTTCTACTTGCCAGTGAGGGATGTAGTCAACATTGTAGCGATTGGAGGTTTTGAGTGCAGCGCAGTCGGATGAAAGCAAATTGAGTGTGTGGGGATGGGTTGGGATTTTGCTGCAGAGCGTACTGCATCAATGCATGCGATCAGACATTGGCTTTGGTGTCGATCGGAGAGAGGCGGTGGGCAGCATGGGCTCCGGGACTTCTGAAGTCATGGTTGCGCATGGGCAGGGATCTTGCTGGTCTTGTATGTTGGATGCCACATAGATAGCTATGTTGCAGTCTTGGTTTATTCTTTGGAAGCGCTGCTGGCAATCCGGATTGGCCATGGTGCCGTTTTTAGGGCAAGGTTGCCTGAGAGTATGAGAGCGGCCTCGTTGCGAACAATCCCTGCAGGAGCTGTGATGTGGCATGGGTAAGATTCTGGCCAATGTCCGTTGAAAAGAGAGGAACGCAGAGCAGAGTGCAGAGATTGGGACGGTGCTGCTGGCACCTGCAGCCTCAGAGAGGTGTACTGATAGGGGGAGCGATGTGAGAGCAGCAGGAAAGTCTGGTGTAGGGATGTTTCTCCCCACCACCAAGAAATTTGTTGAGAGTGCTGAGAGTTGTGTTGGTGGGGTGGGTACTGGGTGGTTTGCTGATGAATGCATGGACAGGCTCCTCCCTCGCCAAGTGAAGCCAGACGGGGGATTATTCTGCGTGCATTCTTTGCACATTCCTGACGCGCAGCTGGTCATTCTCCGTGCATTCTTTACACATTCCTGGCAGCTGGTCATTCTCTGCGCATTATTTGCACGTTTGTCCAAGGGCATCGGTCAATCCTAGGGCGGGCAGTTGCCAATGCGTCAGCGATTTTCAAGACACACAATTCATTGTGGCAGCCCTGTGGGGCGTGGGGCGGCCGGGGGGATACGTCGCTTGTGTCGTATTTTAGAACATTTGAGTATGAAAAGACCAGAAAGTGTTCCTAAGTTTTGGGCTGAGAGATATTGCGGGAAGGTGCTGGCTGCGATGCAACGCGGGTTGCGGTCAGAGAGGCGCGCTAGTCAGCCAATGAACCGCTGTGCGCTGGCCGCCACTATCAGTGGGATAACGTGAAGACTTCATTGACGTAGTTGACAATAATCAAATTGCTTGTTGCTGCCCGCAGACCGGTGGAGTCGGGAGCTGAAATTTTCAGAGTTTGCGCTCATTTGCCAATTATCCGCCGCTTTCTCGCAGTGCCGATTCCATGGCTATGCGATCTGGAGGCCTCATGGCATGTGTCCCCTGCGAGCGATAACATAGAGCGAGAAATGTGCCTATTTTCTGTTATTTTCTGTTACTTTCTGTTACTTTCTGTTGTTTTCTGTTATTTTCTGTTATTTTCGTTCTTCGCCAACCGCCCTGTTTCATGAGCGCGTAAGGGGAGTCGCAATGTCGATGCTGGCGCTCTCAACGTCAAAGTAACTCTGTGTTCAGACCCACCACCTGCTGGCGTCAATCTCTATGTCGACGTCAGCAAAACTCAGCAACACTGCCTGACAACATGGTCCTATACTTGCCGTTAGTCACTGGGCCTCGTCACCTGAAAAGACAGGTACAGGGCTGACACATGGCAAGTGACCGGGCCACCACAAATAGTCAGTCAGGGAAAAATGGCAAAAATTCTCTAACCATGGCCAGAAAGCGATAAAGGCATGCTGATAAGATTATGAACTCTATTTAGATGTGCAAGGGATAATCAGATCGCTCATAAGCACGGTCAGTAAAATATCAATCCATGGAAAAAGAAGACGGGGGCGGCGTTGGGTTGTTACCAGAATTCCCACCCAAGACTGGCCTGGGCCTGGAAAAACCGTGTGCAAAAGCTTCTGTGATAGCTGGACGGCTGGACATACACCGCATTCATTGCGGTCCATACCCAAAAATATTGGGTAGATGCTGCCAGAATTTCAGTAAAAGGAGCAGGCCAGGCCTATAGGCGAAACCTTTGTCGACCAAAGTTTGTGTGAATATTCACTGGCAGTACGTCATTTGCATGCTAATGCCTCACAAACTGTCTCACGCTGTGCATTTGTTGCGTTTGCTATCATTTCCAAATATAGCAGGGCAACAGCGCAGTCAAAAAGGCCACTAGAACTCCCCAATTCTTCCAGCACTTGTTCTGCTCTTTTCAACATTTTGCTTCTTTAGCCATGGCCATGTCACAAACGCCACCAAACTGCAGGGCAATTAATAACTGTGGTCGGTGAAAGATAATTGCCGTCCTGATCGGTTTGAATGCCGCATTTGAGTTGGGCCCAGCCACAAGCACCCATCCCGGACTACACATAACGCAGTATGTTGCGCTGTGGCTGTCGTCACACAAGGTCGACCAGTGCCTGGCATCAGGGAGCCGCCTGCGCCGGTCTGCCTCAAATGCATGCGATTAGGAAAATGAGCCAGCCGGCCGATCAGCGCCTGGGTGGAACAAACTCAGTTGGCTGGGCAGGCAGAACATGTGGGTGCTGGAGGGTACTGCATTCCCCTGGTAGGCAGGCACTGGCAAAGCCAGCAAACATGCGCCTTTTGCATCAATAAACTCCGTCCCACAGAGCTGCCAGTAACGGGTTTCTGGCAGGGCTGGCACAAAGACGTTGGGCGTGACAGATGGGCGCAATGTGAATATAAGGCCCCAGAGACCATAAAGAGCAATCCTCCTTGGGACTGGGGTCCTCACCGCGATGAGGCGCAGCCTCACTGCTGTAGCATGTGGGATCGCCCCTCTCGCACAACAGCCAAGGCACACAGCCTGCACAACCTTCTGTGATACACAGAAGGCAGCGGATGTTACGCGCAACAGCCTGATGTGGGAGACGTCCTACTAATGGCCCTTGGTGTGGGGGACGCCCTGCCCAAGGCACGTACTATTCCTCACCCAATGTAACCTTTATCCATATTAGGATACGGGAGTAGGAGGGGTGGTCCCGCCTAGGTGCCCTGTAAGGACCTAGGTGCCCGGCGAGGCGGGTCCGCGGCTCAAAGAGGGCAGGAACCCCACACCCACATCCTATTCGTAACATTTGGTTTCGGAGCCGCCTGAGGGTGGCGGCCACGCTTCCACCTGGGAGCGCGCGAGAGCACGAGACGCCGGAGCCCTTCCCCGGCCTCCTCCATGGAGGCTGAGGAATCGGAGGGACAAGCCCGGGATGGGCAGGGGGAAGGACAAGCCCGGGATGGGCAGGAGATCGATACACCCCGGGAGGGGACACCAACTTCGGTTGGTGAGGTTAAAGCCCGGGATGGGCAAGGAGGTGACAAAGTCCGGGAGGACACGGCTGGACCCTCCACAGCCACTCCGCCACCTGCAGAGGAAGATGAACCGATGGGGGAAGCGAGTGCCCCACCGGCGGCGGAGAAGAAACAAGAGCAAGAACAGGGGACCATGGCGGCGCTGCTGCAGACCCCTGGTATCATGGAGCTCTTGGAACAAGTGGCGGATGCTGCTGCCAAGAAGGCGAGAGCGAAGCGGGAGGAAGAGACCGCCGAGAGGATCGCCTCGCTGGAGATCGCCGTCAACAAGGCCAAGAAAGAAGCTCGAGAGAAAGAGCTGGCCATGAAGAAGGCGAAGCAGCAGAGCCGCGAGGCACAAGAAGCCAAAACCTCCGCCGAAGACCAGGTCAAGGCGTTGAGTGACCGCCTCCTGAAGCAAAAGCAGCGGGCCCAGGAGGCAGAAGAGAGAAGCGCCCAACAGGTGGTGCCAGCTGTGAGGGCCCCCAGTCCGTCGGAGCTGCCCATGCCAACCATTCCAGAGGAAGACTGGAAGGTTGCTGGCAAGCAGCGCTCCAAGCGGAAGAGTCCATCGCCAGGTGAGCGGCCGATGGAAAGTGAGAAATCTCCATATCAAGGCCGGGAGGCCAAAGCCTTAGGGCGAGTTGAGAGAATGCAAGGCCGGAAGGTCAAGATCCCGGAGCTACGGCTCAAATCCCAGGTGCATGTGAGAACACCTAGTGGATCGGACGGGACGGGAGATGAGTCGCTCACAGAAAGCGCTCAAGCTGTTTGCGGAAAAAGTCCGCCAAGGCCGGGAGGCCATAACTGGAGCCCTCGGAGGCCTGCGTTACCAGAGTGGGGGCCTGGTGAAAGCTCAAGGGTGCTGGAGTTCGTTCCAGACACTCGAGATCCATATAGCCGGCAACCACCGTGCCGTGCAATGTGGACAAAGTTCCACAGTGATCTCGTCGATGAGCTTGACGAGGGATGGCGGATGGCCGCCGACCAGTTTGGAGAAAGGTTAACCACCGCCAGACTGGTTAGAATACAAAGGTGGTATGGTCCTGGAATGGCAGATCAAATTGCCAAAGAGGACCCAAATTGGCCAGAAAAGATGGCCTTTGCGCTCAGGCATATCCCGGAACCATGGGACTTGAGCGAGGGGAGTCCAGAGAGACCAGACCCTAATGATCCCCACGAGCGGTGGGAGGAGATCTCGGAATTGTCGTTCTCGTCATGTGCTTCTCCTTTGCCGGGTGATATGTCAACCCGTGCACAAGTGCATAGAATGGAAAAGGAGAGACGACGCATTCGGAACCGAGATCGGTTCGCTCGTGCCAAGAAACTAGACGAGCAAAAGGCCAGAAAGGCCAAACAGCGGAGAGAGTTGAAAGCGCTGCGACGTGAGCGGGATCGTCAATTGAATCCTGAAAAGTATGAGCGTAAGCGAGCTCACAAACGCCAGCGCAAGGCTGAGATCAAGCGGTTTTTCTCCGCAGGAGGCAGCCAAAAGGCGCAGCGCCTAGAGGTTAAGCCGCCGGCCGATGAGCTGGACCCGGCCGAGCAGGCCAAGGCCTTCGCCCGCATTGCCATGAAGGAGGGGACCTCCAAACGCTGGGCCGATCAGCAGGACAGTAGCGGCAGTGACAGTGGTGTAAACCACCCTGCCCGCTTTGTCCCCACCCAACCGGAACAGGCATCGCCATCGGTTGTGGTGACCAGCGGTCCCAAGGCGGAGGGTACGC